AATACGTCGAGCTGTGCAACCAGACCGTACACTGTTAGTACTACTATTGCATCTCGAGTAAATTGGTTGTCGAGAATGTTCCACTTGTATATAAGCAATGAAACATTAGATCAGAAAGCTACAATCATCTTCGTGAACGAGCTCGACTTTTGCAGGTGTTAATCTCGTACATTTATTGTCACTAAGTCTTTTTTTAAATGTATTTAGTGGATTTAACGTTGCGTGAAGTTATGGACTCAAATTCTTCTACTACGTTTGAAGAACGATCATATAGTTGCCTCATTTGTCCAAAATCAGTATCTAACCTTCTTTTCAAATGAAGTGATATTTCTCTCATCAAAAACACAATAAATGTCTTGCCGTCAGCTGGTGGAACATAATGAAATCTGCTTGATGAACATGTCATTAGGCATTATTAATGTGCGTCTTACATGTTTGCAAAAATTCGAACGCTTATGTCGCAGTAAAAAAAATATTCATCATGATTCACATACATAACAATCAAATTTAAAAAACAAAACATTATATTCTTCAATTCAGAAAATGTAAGAAAGATAAAAATATCAATAGCTTTGTAGTACTGCACAGATTTACTCTTTTTTGCCACGCATAAGCCATTTAGCATAATAAGCCGCGAAACTCTCTCTTAAGCGTCGAAAGTCGACAGTGTTGAAGTCATTCATATGCACAGAATGGTCTGCATCAAAAAGATTCTTCGGTGTCTTGTTGAGCTTAATCCAAACGTCAAAAAGTTCTGACTGAAGTCTTTCAGCAATCGACTTGACATCATAAACGTCTTTGACTGGTTCAAAGCTTGCGCCGTGATATAAATTCAAACGTGAACTATCTTTTACCTCTACATCAAAGATATGCTCCGCATCTTCGTTTGTGATATCTTCCAATTTAATAACACAATTCTTTTTCGCCTCGAGCAAATTAATGTATCGAAGCCATTGTGTCATTGGAGAGATTCCGGTGCTTGCTTTCTCGTCATCTATCATCATAAAAACATCACCTGCTGACAAATCTTTCGCTAACCACTTCTGGTTCGAGTGTGCCCGCGTGGCTGCACCCACCATTTTGTCAGCAAATTTCTCTAGACCCGGAACTTCTCGAAATAATTCAAACAACGATGCCATTTGGTCGTCCGGAACCGTCGGTTTTAAAATGTCAATGACCATCTGCCAAAGTGACTCATCAAGAATTATAATGGATTTTCCATTATTATCTTTTGCCACGGAAGGGTAAGATTGGAAGTATCGAAGCCACAAAATAAACTTTGGATTAGGTCCTGCGACTTTAACGTGGACATATAAAATAAATTCTCGTGGAGTATAAGGCTTCTTTAGTTTCTGGATTTTGTTGAGTAAGTTATCCTGTGCAGCAATTTTCTTCAACTCGTTTCCAATCTTAGCAACCTCTGGTTGTTTTTCCACCCATTCAAAAATATCCACAAGGTCCTCTTTAAAATTCATTTGCTTCAG